CTCCTTTATTCACACGGCCACGATGGCGGTCGGTCGCGGGAATGTGGCTCCTGTTCTTTTCCTCAACTAAGATGGTTCATCTATGAATCAACTGCCTTCTGATTTTGTCGCTTTACAATATGCCTTCCTTGGAATATAAACCTTCAAGCATCGAAACAACAAAGAGAGCAAACGTCCGCAGTATTGTCTTCCGAGCCGCTTTCTATATGCTACGGACAATACCTGTAATTTCCAACTCACACGGCGAATAATACTAAGTGGTGATGTTGAGGCAAATCCAGGCCCAAAGGAAGCCAATGTTCGCCAAGAAGGCAAGCAAATCAAGTTAACCCGCAGCGTCAAAGTAAAACGAATGGTGGCCTGAAGGTCTGCGAGTGGAATATTAACAGATTGACCGATCCTTAGATTGAACAGATAAAACATTTCTTGACCGTCCTCAAATTGACCTGCTATTGATTGAGACCTTCTTAAAACTAAAGGTACCAGATTCTGTTTTTGAAATTCCTGGTTGTGTGATGTAGAGCTTACGTCAACTTCAGGATGAAAGAAAACCACCGCATTGAATTAGGAGAGAAGGAGATTGAAACGTTATGGCTGGATGTTTTCCTTTCAGTGTAACTCGAAAAGATCGCTTTAAGTAAGTGCTCTGTACCGTCCGCCTTCTTGGGATGTTGACATTGATACCAGGATCGAGAAGAATATTGAGAACGCTTATCTGCAGAATCGTGAGACCATTATTATGGATGATTTTAATATTAACTATTTGGATCATGCCTACAATAGTAATAGTCATAGGCTGGCCAAAGCTCTGAAGAGCATGGCCCCTAGCCAAGTCATTACTTCTGTTACAAGACCTAAAGATGGCACATGCTTGGATCATTGTTAGAAAAGTCATCCAACCTTTAATGCAAATAAATTCGTCTTAAATATCGGGCTTGCAGACCACCTTCCTCTAATTATTCAGCCTAAATACGCCAAACAAAAAAGAGGTTATGAGTCACAACATACGACAATTTCTTATCGGGAAACACAGAACTTGAATTCTGACGAGCTTCTATAATCCCGGCTAGAACGTATCCCTTGGGACACTACCTTCCTATTTGAAGACATTGACGATATTTTGAATGCCCTTGAGAGTATGCTCAATGAGGTTCTCGATCAGCATTTGCCCTGGAAAAACAGGCGAGTAAAGAGGCAAAACCAGCCCCCTTGGATGAATGATGAAATTTTTGAAATTGATAGGTGAAAGAGATGGTCTGCTGAAAACAGCTCGTCGTACAAACCTTTCAATCGACTGGTTTATGTATACTCGTGCAAAATGCAAAACATCAAACTTGATAAAACATGTAAAACGATGTTCCTTCCAGGAAACAATGGATGAGAACATAGGGAATCCCGAAGTAATGTGGAAGGTGTTCAAGACTTTAAGCGGTGTTAAGAAAGACCAAGTTACTATCAGAAAACCAATTACGGAGCATGGCGCCATAACAGATAAACAAGAAATTGCTGAATATTTGAATGACGCTTTTATCAACACTGCCTCCTAGATTATCTCTGGTAGTCAGTGCGTGTAAGATTTAGATCTTGATGATGATGATGATGGGGTTTTCCATGAGTTTGTAAAGTCAAAGTCAGGAAACCAGTCCTTTAAAATACCACCTATTACTGAGGGACAGATCTTGATCTCATTAACAAACTCCCTTCAAATAAGGCGATTGGATGTGACGGCCTCATTGCGAAGGTTCTCAAGTTAGCAGCTTCTGTTCTGACCCACCCCCTTTGTTGACTTATGAATCTTTCCATATGTACTAGCTCCTTTCCATCGACATGGAAAACCAAGTTAGTAGTATTAAGTTATGGTATAGTCTTCCAAATGAGCTTAGGAAACAACGTAGCATCTCCTCTTTTAGGAATGATTTGATGAATAATTTTATAAATTCTTATAGAGACATTGATTTTTTTGAAGCTGTATCATAATCTAGTTTTATTGTATTTATAATCTTTGAATAGTTACATTGTTCGACTAGTTAGTTCCATTTTTAATCTTTATGGCTTAGAATGCATTACTTACTTTAGTTTAGTTTACTTTAGTTTTGAGGGCCACTGGTTTATCAGCGCAAGCTGTTATGTGTATACCCTCTTGAAATAAAGTCGATTATTATTATTACTATTATTATTATTATTATTATTATTATTATTAATGGCTCTCGTGAAGACACAAGCAACTACCGACCAATTTCTATATTACCTGTTCTTTCCAAGATATTGAAGGGCGGGTTGCAACATCCCTTTCCAAATACCCGCTACATAGTTACGATTTGCTATACAACCTCGAGTCAGCTTTTCGACCAAATCATTCCACCGAAACGACACTGATTAAATTAACTGATGAACTGCTCCTTTAATATGGATAATGATATGGTCACTGGCATAGTTTTTGTCGATTTTAGAGAGGCCTTTGATGTGATAAATCACGAGCTTTTACTTAAGAAGCTATCTATTTATGGGGCCAATGATTTATCATTGAAGTGGTTTGGGTCATATCTTACCGGAAGGAAACAATATGTGCGAATAAATGGGTGCTGTGCTACCAGTAAGCAGTTGTTACGAGGAGTGCCTCAAGGATCGATCTTAGGACTTATTCTCTTCCGATTGTTTGTGAACGACATGTCTTTAGGTATACGTGATTCGGCACTTGACGTTTATGCTGATGATACGACTTTATTAAAAACCCCTAGCTGGGAAAATGTCCCTCCTCTGACATAGGCTCTCAATCAAGATCTCAAACGGTTAGATGAGTGGTCGGCACGAAACAAGATGTCTGTTAACTCTTAGCAAATCAAGTCCATGCTGGTACTGAACAGGAAAACGTTTGCGGAACCTTGTCGCCTCTACCACAACAGATGTTAACTTAGATGAAGGAAACATTGAACGTGTAACTGATTTCAAACTTTTAGGGGTAACGTTTGATCACGATCTTCATTTAATCACCAGATCATAGTTACATGTCAAACGTTACATGTCCCTTTGCCTTGTAGCTCTTAAAAAGTGAGTCGGGCGCTCTCATTTAGAAGTCGTGAAAAATTCGACAATTATTTTTTTTTCAAAATTTTTGGTATAGTCTGATTGCCAGTCCTATACGCTTTAATTTGAAATAGAGGTTTAGATATCTACAGTTTAAACCGGACGCGCTACATCGCTTGCACGTGAGACACCCCTGAAGGTGCACGGTAACCTTAACCTACAAAGGCTGAGTGGCAAAAGCCCTGAGTATATAAATGATTTACTTATCAGAAACTCTGACACATATAATAGATCAACCCGTTTCTGTAATCTTAACTTAAGTTTCCCTCGATATAAGAGAAGTAAGGAAGGTGGTCGAACGTTTGCTGTGAGAGCAACAAAGGAATGGAGCAAACTAAGTGTGGACCTCAAACGGAGTACTAGTGTCAAAAACGTTAAGCGTTCCCTTTTAAAAATAACTTTAAATAATCAAACTCTTGCGCATATAATTTATGTAAATTTTAAAACCTGTACATAACCACATTTTATAATCTTATTTTGTGATTTACAAAGGCTTATATACTATTTTAATTACTATTAATATTGTTACAACTATTGCTATTAGTTTGTTTTTTTGAGGGCCATAAGGTTATCAGTTTTATTACTGTCAAATGTTACCCTCGTTAAATAAAGTCTTTCTTACTCAGTTACTGTTTCGCTGGTAAAACTTGACACTTCCGGTTCAAATTCCCCCACCACTGTCAGGCAAAATCCCCACCGAATTAGTCTCCCGGCATTACCTAATGGTATGATCGTGTCTGTACCATGTTTACTAAATACAATCTATTGCGAACTTTGCCGCTCACCACTCAAATAAAGTAATTTTTGGTGCCCTAGATCTTCAGCTTGTGTAATTTGAATTAAAACGCATTAAAATGCGTCAGCACAGTCATTTGACCCAGCCGATCTACGTAAGAAAGCTGGATCACGGAGGTTCAACACTCCAAAAGTGAACCATTTTTTAGATGCAACTTTAGATGGCAGGCCGAGTGTGAATTTCAATTGTAATTTATAAATTTCCTTGAACGATTTAATTTACTATGATCTGCCGACTTTGATCGGAGTTGAGTGGCTTTTCTGCGTAGAAAAATAATAAAGACACAATTGGAAACTGACATAAAAATGTCCAGACTTGATGCTATGATTTGGTGTTTATCAATAAAGTTCTCCTGTGTCAGAGGCTTGTACTAATTACGATGTTGTTAGTTTCGATACAAAGGTAGCTTATAAGGCCAGCTTTGCTTCTGGGCAGACCATTATCCGTTTTCATTGAAAAGCTCTACATAGCCATGGTTCGAGTTAAGCTATCAGAAATCAGATGGATCTTAAAATTCTAATCATATGTAACGTGAAATTGCACACTGCTGAAGTCACGTTGCTTAGGAACCGAAAAAGAAACATTGCTATAACAGCGTACTATCTTAATAAAGGTAGCGCTGATTAAAGGGAATTGTACACAGTTGAAGCCTGCTGTCCAAATAAAACCCGGATATCTTATAATGTCTTAATGTGGAAGGTAAGTGTTTCTGTTACTAAAATATAAATGCGAACAAAACTCAGTATTTCCGCCACGAGAACCGGTAGTAGATAGAATTGTGTAATCATGAACGGAGGAGTGGCTAAATTCTTAAAAACCGACAATAGGCTACAAAAAAAAAAAAAGAAAAAAAAAAACTAAAGGTTTCACTAGTAAAAGCACAAGCGAGAAGTAAGGACTTTGGGTTTTATTATACGAGTTGAACAATTCATAATTCAACGCTTTCCGCACCAGCACCCAGGAACGTACTTTAGTGTTCAACAAAGCACATTTTCCAACCAAAGCTCGGCCCAGGTAAGAAAACTGTCAACTGGTTACCTAGACATTCCGGTAACAAAATTTGCAATACATCATGATGAAAAACCCAACATTCTTAATCCCTACGTTACAACTTACGTACCTTTGGGCTATTTCTATGGAAACAAACGTCGTAATCTGAAATGGAGATTTTTACTGTGTAGTTTTTCTTCGTAGCAAGGGCATTTCCTTTCTATTACTGTCTCATTTTTGCCTGGAATATTCCTTTTAACTGAGGGGATGAAACTTCGCGTTCTTCTTCAAATTATTTCGCCGCTGTTATGTACTTCTTCAAATTATTTCGCCGCTGTTATGGATGAGCTAAGGCACTCTTGTTTGTGTTCACTCAGCGTGATTTCCACGTGACATTTTGAAATCTTTCATCATTAACCTAGACAGTGAGGAGTAAAATAAATCATTGCACAAAGGGACATTCTCAACAGGTCGTAATGGTAAGTTGTACATGTCAAAGCTTACGCTGCTCTTGACGAAAACAATACGAGCATACAAGAGGCAACTTATATGAAAGGATATTTTTAGTAAAGTTTTTTTTAGTAAAGTTTGAGTGAGTTGCTTCTCACTTTTCACCTCAAGGAATCAGGTCTCGCAAAAGTAGAGATGAAAAATTGTAGTCAGTGGCACAAAATCCGTCGCCACTTAAAGTAATCACGGTAAGTTTCTGATAGTTATCATAGAAATTAGGAATAATTACCTAGCAGCAATAATTTAGTTTCAGAACAACACAATTGAACAACCAAATGCATTATGTTAAATCTAAACCAGGGCACAGCGATGAACAACGGTAGCAATTTTTAAATTTTACTGAATTAGTAAGATCTTTTCGGCTGTTTTCAAACTCTGATTAACTCTTTAGCACTAATCTTTCATAATTGCTTTGCAAGTTTGAGATATTGGTCTGCAACTCAATAAACCAGACATAAACCGCAAGCGCAAATTGAGAGGAATATGGCTAAGATGTGACGGGCCGTTTCCCTCGATCAGAGGAGCTTTGTTTCGTGACTACTCCCTTGCATTTTTTACTTACAACAAATTGCTATTTACAGGTTTCCATACTTTTATTTCTTCTCGACGGATTCTTACGAAACTCCAAAGATTTACCGTCTTAACTAGGCTTGACTAATCAAGCGATATGGCGGTTTGCTTGTTAATTTAAGTTAGTTAAGCTGTTTGTTTATATAGTTAAATTAATACATTGAAAAACTTTACATCGTCGAAGGGGTTTATTGGAATACGTTACTGCATAGCCTTGGGTACGCCGAGATTTGAAAAATGTTTTCAAATCCCATAAATCTCCCACTACAGACACAAGGTGAAAAGAGTGCGATCATACGTAACATCGATGACAATAGAGCTCTTAACTCTGCTCCAGGCTAATTCTTTCTGGTACGATAAGATTATCGCAAAAGGTCCAAAAACTGTGTTAAAATCACTTTCAAATTTACTAGGCTTCGTATTTTTTTGGGTCATGTTTAGAGAATCCCATCTCAAGTAGTGTTACCTATCAGTATTTATTTTTAGAAATACTTAGACCCTGGGTTTAACGTTGGACATGCGTGTAATTGTCCTGATTACATAATGACAAATATCATTCAACATTGCCACCCATCTTGCCTTTTCATAAGACCTTATGAGAGACTTGTGGGTCGTTTCGCAATGAATGGTAGTTTGACAAAAACTTTTTTTGGATTGCCTCTTTGCAATTCGTTTCCTCAGTTTATCGCGTTAAAGGAGGGGGTCATGAATTAGTAGGGAGATACAACGTAACTTCTACCATACAGATGCTCTTCCGAGCGCTTTTCACGTCACAATCTGTAGTACAGCTCTGCCAATACATTTTTTCTAACTATGAAAAACGAATACAAAAGGTGATGCGATTTTCGTTTTCCTATGAATAAATTAAAAAAAACAGTTCTTTACTTTTGACCCCCCCCAGAGAGGGTGACGATTTGCTTCCCAGCATTCCATGCAATATTAGTGGCGAAGCGATCGCTTCTAGATCTGAACTCGTCGGATGTGTTTTCTTTTAATTCGAAAGTTTCTGGTGAATTATCAAAATATTGATAATTGAAGCAGGCCCTTGGCTCAGCGATTGTCTATTTTCTAAGACTTCCTTAAAAGCTGGATGGTAAGCCTCGACGTGGAGGTAGATCAAAGTCTTGTCGAGCCGTCTGCCTTTGGTAGGTAAAGCGCATTGACTTGCTTTTTAAGTTAACGGGAAATATCGGTAATTTTTAAAAGAGCGTTTTAAAATGGAAATTCTTATTACGCTATTAAAGTTAGATTTTGAAATATTATGCTTCACTGCTTGTTTTGTTAAAATTTGCGGAAAGTTTAAAATCCTTGGAGACCATGTTGATACCACTTCGTGCCTCAGGGGACAGGGTAGGAGAGGCCCTTATTTGAGTGGGATCACTTACAGATGGGAACTATATATCAGTAAATTTTTCCTTATTTGGTGGATGATGAAATTTATGATCGTTTTTCTGAAGCGCAGCGTTTGCCTGAAAAAAAAAAAAAACAAAGCAAATCCGATATTGATAAACAGAGTTGATCATAAATATCAATGCAATTTCCATCGGCACTCAAGCACACTGAACATATTTATAAGTGGGAGATTATCAAAAATTTAGGTTCTCTTGTCTCCCTTTGAGGCAGAGGATTCTCTATTAAAATTCTACAATAAGGCCACTTTTCATTTGTGGTATCGTTGTTTGGCAATCTAAAGTAACGAATGAATGTTTATTATACTCGATGCAGAACCACGCGCCTCTTCTGTTGTGCTTTTCACCAAATTGAAATAGCTGCCTTTTTACGCAGAAACTCGTATTAATAAATGTGCAATATTGTATAAGAGAATTGAACACGCAGTGCCAGAGTATCTTATGGACTCGTTGAAATTGAATAGCTCTCAGTCGGTATTCACGTAATACCAGGTTTGTCAGCTTGAATTTTATTACGCCCACATACAAGAGAAAGATTGAAGGAGGAAGCTCGTTTGTTGAGTCTGCAATACAGGACTGGAACAATTTAAATTGTGAAATAAGGAAGCAGCCGCGTGTAAAATCTTTTAAGCGCGCCTTGAGAAAGAATTTTTTACAAGATCAAGCTCACTTGCCGTACTTTTATCCATGACATATATGTATATGCTTATGTCGATATGCTTATGTCGATATGCACAGTGAAACCTGATGTTCTTTGTAGTACTGTAGCTTAATTTGACATAAGCTGTTGCAACTTAATCGAAAGCTCAAAGCACACTTGGTTTTGTATAGTATCAATTTTTTCCTTTCAGATTCCTTTCAAATCAACCACCGTTTTCTCTAATGGCAGGAACGACTGCGTCACAGCATTGTTTTTTACCCATCAGAAAGTACGTATACTGTATTTCCTTGAATAAAATCTCGGGCGGCTATTGAAATTTTGGCTTAAAGGGGAAGAGAAAGGGGGGGGGGGCGCCGATCGGAAGGAGGGCGTTTAATCGAGGAAGATGCTTATTAAGAAATGTTAAACTTGGCCCCGGTTGTAATAAGGGTGGATAGCGCTATCCACTTGATAAATTGCTGGATAGCGATTAATCCCCTGGATAGCGTTATCAGCGCTTTGAACAACTGGACCCTGTACTGATTCTGTTGTAGATGAGGTTTAAAGGTTGTGAATTAAGTGGCAATAGCAACAGCTTTCCTTGTATCACTGTTATTTAAGAAAGTGAAGTTAATGCTTAGTCAAGGGAGGGCACTCATAAGAGCTGAGTATGGGTGTTTATTCGAGGAAATATGGTAAGTTGGATCAACCTGAAAGCTGATGGTGCTGGCTTAATTGTTTTAAAATAACCACTGTTTTTTTTGTCCCAGAATACATGGACTTACTCTTATCAAACAATTCTTTCCCACCTGAATATTTTTAAATCAAGTACCGTTTCCTCTGATGAGCGGAAAGGCTGTATCTCAGGCTTTGTCCATCTGCTTGCTTTAGAAGAGGTAAGTTCTCTAGTTTCTTGATATGTGCTTTCGCTAAGATGTGATGTTCGCCAAAGTTCTCACGCAGTGTCCCTTGGCTCGAAGATCTTCAAAAAGAGTTGTGCGTCTATATAGTTGGCTAAATACAAGCCAAATTAGACAAAGAAATATCTATTTTGGAGCATTTTTTGGTTTAATCCTTAACTTCTTCACACATAGACTCCAAAGGTAATTTTACTGAATTGAGCTTTCAAAGATCCATGGAGATTGATTAAAAACTTAAGTAGAAGTTTGAGACACAAATATCAATTTTTCAGCATGCTTTTCGATATAGGTATGCCCCAAGAGTTCTAACATCTTTAATGAATAGGCAGCGAGGTCTCTAGGGGGTAGTCTCCTTCGCAACTGTTGTTTGGGCTCGTCACGCAACGCTCCCTCCCCCACCAATCGGCTGCTTAAACCCGAGCCGCATTCCTTTCCCTGGTTTTTAGCCAATCACGATTTTGCTCATATAATTCTGAGTAAGTCCCGCCAAGACTAGTCGTTCAATCAAAACTCGTGTTCTATCAGCAGCTCATTGAGCAGAGAAAATGGCAATTCTCGAAGAAGCTTTTGTTTCG